AATCATCACCAGCAACACTTTCTTCAACCATATTATTACTACCACTTCTTGTCTTCATTTGCACATCATCCTCATCAAAATTTTCCTTTTTAAAGAGATAGGTGATATGCCTCAACTTGAACCCTGGATCCAAAACAAGTGCAATCAACACCAACATGTTCAAATCCTAATATTTGACAAAACACTTATTGTATTTTGTTCTCATAACTCCATGAAGGAAACATACATCTAATGTTTAGGAAATGAACTTTAGCCACAACCTATACAACAAAAACATTCTGAATGACGAATTCATTTTGTTTATACTAGTTAAGCTAAACTTTTTTTCATTTTAAACCAAGTATCTTAGTCTAGTCTCTTTCAACACAAATAGAAAAGGGAAAAAAGAAATAGATCTTTACCCTTGATGACTTTTTCTTGATTTCTCAAGAATGAACACCTTTGTTGGAAATGCCTTTTCTTTCTCTTGATTTTGACTCCTTCACCTTAAGACTCCAACATTAGAGTCCTCAACCTCATCACACCAAATGCTCCTAGAGATGAAGAGAAGGCAATCAAGAAGTATGGATGCTACTCTACTTCTTAATTGGACCAATTTTTGGTTTATGGAAGATGAGATACAAAGATGATCACTCATCAACCAAAGTTGGAAACCAAAAACCCTAGCTAAGTTTTCTCCAACACTTAGCTTAAATAGGACAACACAAAAAAGCAAGGGGAGAGATCCCCCTTAGGTGCCGAAATTTTGGGTGGGTATTAGGGCTCCATTTGGTCCATGGGTCATGTCATCTTATGCCACTTATCCCTTGGGCTCAATAGCCTTTTGGGCTCAATAGCCTTTTGGGCTATTTTGTCCCTTTCCTTTTAAATTATATTGAAAAGCCCAATCCAATATTTCTATATGTCAATATTAATTCCATAATTAATCTTTTTAATTATAATTTAACTATTAAACTATAATTATAGTCTTACGCAAGTCTTATCCACTAAAAAAACAGCTTGTGAAAAAACCTATTCAAATTCGAATGACCGTGCAATTGGATCCTTCTCTTGTGTCAATACTCCTTATGCATATTATTAGATCATGGAATCCAATTGTCAATATCCTAATGTGAATCATTCCTTTTATATGATTATCCTGGTAAGACTTGAAGACTTCTTCTTTCAAGTCTTATCCACTCCCTGCGCAGAGATTTGACCTATCATATCTTGGGGTATTCTTCTCTCCTTTACTGAGAGTAGAGATTCCTTGTACATTCATTTACTTTCATGACTCTATTGAGAATCTTGATGAGCACCTTTAAGTTATGCCTAATTCAGCATGACTGTATAGTGCCCTCAAAGATTAACGACATAGCCACAAAACATCTATGATGTCTCAAGTCTAAGGATTATTTGCAATATTGCATTTATGAGTTCCAGCTTGACATGTGAGTAAAGACTTCCATACTGTAAGTCATGTGTTGGATTGCGTTCAATGTACTTGTTCTTCTAGAAGCACATACACACATATCGATGTGTCTCCACACTTAATGGCATGAGACCTTGCCATTTCCAACATATAGAGACGATACTATGTGTATTGGTCTTTGCGAAATATTGACGCCAAATCAATATTCCTATGACTAGGAACATATTTAGGATTTAGGGATGATAAGAAGTCTCCATGTATGCAATCTCATTACATAGCTCTCATATCCACTTGTGTATTCCTTGGACTATGATTGTTTTGTTGTACGTAGCGGAAGCGGATTGCACTGGGGTGGTTGATATGAAACTGTTGAAACAACAAGAGCAAAATATGAAATACAGAAATCCAAATGACACAAGGATTTATACTGGTTCGGCCCGTGTGTAGCCTACATCCAATTCGAAGACTGTGTAGCCAAAGAGGAGTTTATTTCCACCATCATGGTGATGCTCTCTAGTATTTCTCTTTGTGTGGAAGTGTCCCTCACTTCTGTTTTAGCCTCTCTGAGCAATGGTGCTCACGGCACCCTAAATGGTGCGGCACAAATGCCCACAACTCCCCTCAATTGCATGCTCCATTTCTCCCTTTTATAAACCCATGCAGCAACTCTCCAAATGAGAGCAACCGCATGCCAAGGGAGCCACGTGATGGTCAGTCAAAAAAGCCTTGAGACATGCACCATTAGCAGCCCATAAAGATGCCTTGAGCCATGCTCCTTGTTTCCTCTATTTGACAAAAGACCATCCCTTTAACAACATGCCCACGTGAGTTGCTGCACTCCAATTGCTTTAGGTGCAGATCACTCAAGTGTTGGCTCCCACTTCATCTCTTTGTCTCTAGCCTTTCAACAAAGATGGCATGTGCCATCATTTCCCATTTGAAAAGCCACGGCATGACAAATGAAGAAAGCTAGCAAACAACAATAAATTGGCCCTTACACAATTAATTAATCAATACAATTTGGGCCAATTTTTAACATGTTCTACATATTGAAAGATAATGTAGGGTGATTTAATGCATTAAACAACCTTTCTTGCCAATTGATAACATAATGTGTCTTTTATCAAAGATGTCCTTAACTCTAACTATTACATAATTAGTTGGCTTTAAGGGCATATTTCTAACACTCCAGCCATGTCATTCAACACTTTCTCTACATATGAACCAATGGTAATTTCAGGTGCCACAAACAACTTGTTAATCTCCTTTTTCCATGGTTATAATTGCGTGAAATGTTTTATAAACTGTGGGGTGCAAAGATGCACTTACCTTTAAGGTCACCTCATAAAACACCTTAAAAAAAACCCCACAAACACTGTTGCATTATCCCAATCAACATCAGTTTGTGGTCCAACCCGAGGCTGCCTACTATTAGTCTGAACTACACCATCCTCATCAACTTCCTCATCTGGTTCTTTGAAATAAGCCATGAATAGGCTGTTCAAATCCTCTGTCATTCTAGTAAAAGCCTTCTTAAACTTTAAGGCTGCATCCAACATCATGTATGTTGAATTTCATCTTATGGGGACATCCATGCATACAAGACCTTTGAAGGTCAGTTTCTCCTTCTCAACAGAGGTTTTAAAATAATCCAATCTCTGTGGAGATGACCTAACATACCTCATAGCATTCCTAATTGCCAAAATATATTTGTAGCTTCCTCAACCCACTAGACACAATTAAATTAGTGATGTGAGCACAACCTCTCACATGTAAGTACTTCCCACCAAAAAAACAGCTTGTGAATTATTCCATTTATTCATCTTATATCTAACCCAATCAATTGCCACTTTATTTGCAAAGGCATTGTCTACAGTGATGGTTAAAACCTTCTCTATACCCCACTGTAACAAACAACTCTCAATGAGGTCTCCTATGGTGTTGCCTTGGTAATTAGGAATAACACAAAAGTTTAAAACCCTTTTGGGCATCTTCCGATCACAATCTATAAAGTGAGTAGTGAGCACCATGTAATTGGTGTTTTGGACACTTGTCCAAGTGTCAGTCATAAGGTTAATCCTATGTGCACTCAAATCCTTCTTTAGCTATTCCTTTTGTGCATCATATATTTTAAGAAACTGCCTCACTATTTTTCTCCTACTAGGCACTTCAAACATTGGACAAGCAACACTACAAAACCACCTAAAACCTTTCTATTCTACAAAAGAAAATGGAAGCTCATCAATGACAGTAATTTCAATACAAGCATCCATAACATCAATCTACACAAACCCCTTGGCAACCATTTTGTTTCCCTAACCCTTATCACCAGCAATGATATTTTGTGTTTTATCTTGGTTAGGTGGGTAATATTTGCAGTATTTTCTAATGTGGCTTATCATTCCTGAAGTCCCATTTTTCCCACTGTCACAGGCATAATCTCCTAGACCAAGTTTAGATTTAGGACAATATTTGCATTTAGCTCTTTTATTCACAACTTCTACATCTACCATCTTCTCGGTGGGCTCATCCTTTCTTTTGACAATTTTCTTATCATTATAGGGTGTAAAATGATCCCAAACCCAACTTCTCTTATTACCTCTAGCTTTGATATATGAGTTCAATTAACTAATCATTTTTGTATCTTCACTCTCAACAGCTTAGGCTTGCACTAGCTCTAGCACAGGAGCTTCAGAAGGTTGGCCTTCCAGCTGCACAGGGTGTGGCATTAATGGTGGTGTTGGTGATGTTGCTGTTGAAGAAGCAACAAGCCCATTGTGCTCCTGATGATGCTGCTTACTTGATCGAGACTGCATGAGAGTAAACCCCAACAAATTAACAAAATTCATAATAAACAATCTAAACAGAGAGAGAGAGAGATCCTAAACAAACAATCCAAATTTAGACAACAAACATATTAACCCTAAACAAATTAACAAAAATTAGAACAAGAACAACTTACCATTTGAGGCTTTGTCGATTTGGGGCTGATCGAGATTCCATATAGAGATCGAGAGAACGAGAGATCAAGGGAGTGAGACAGAGATCGAGAGAGTGAGATTGAGAGAGATCGAGAGATTGAGATGAGAAAGGTTTGGCGAGAGAGAGAGAGAGAGATTCTTCGAATGGGTTGAGAGATCGAGAGTGAAAAAAGTATTAAAATTAGTCTCTATTACTGTTCAATACGGTACGGGATTAAACGGTATCAAATATCCAGTACCGCTCCCGTGCCATACAAAGTTGACATGGTGTGGTATCATACCGGATACAGCCTAAAACCAAATGAAATGGGATGAAACCGGTACGGTATAGTTCAGTATGTGTACAGTATTGGTGCTTCGGCTTCAAATGCCCAACCCTAATTTCATTGAGCAATATGAAATTTGATCATAACTTCAAGAAGCACTGATGCAATTAAGCCTAAAACAAATAACACAGAACAAAACAAAAATTTTATTACCCAACAAAAAAAGAATTGAAGATAGAGCTAGCAAAGTTAATGGCTTTAGTTTTAAACCACAATATAGTTTACTAATTTGGAATATAGAAATACAATTTCATCTAATTAGCATAAGGCCAAAGACCAAAATGTGGTACCTAATTTACAAAAATATCATTAAAAAATATCAAAATTATACACAATGCCACTCCTTTTAAGGCAAGCATACTATGCCACATGTCCATACCTATCCAACCACCATCGCTGGAATCTCGCCGCCAAACTCCTGCCGCCGGCCACCTGCTGCCGCCCGTCACTGGCCTGCCACCGTCTGCAGGGGATCAACTCCGTTGCCCTTTATTCACCTTTAAAAAAAAAAGATTTTGTGTCATTGAATGGACTCGAACCTTGATCCTCAAAGGAGGAAGGCTCACTCACAAACCACTACACCAAACTTGATTTTGTAATATTTATTCAGTTATACAATATTTATATAAACGATAAACTTTTTTTTTAATAAAAAAAAAAATTCATTTCACCACATATTCACACAAAAACTGAAAATAAAAGCAGAAACTGCAACAAAAATACAATGTAGATATCAATTATATAAAAATAATAATAATAATAATTTTATAGAAGCAAAATGGAGGAACCAAGATGAAAGTACTAAAATGGAAACTGCGATGCAGAAACGGAAACTGCAATGCAGAAACGGAAACTGGGATGACGGAAACTGCGATGCAGAAATAGAAACTGCAATACAAAAATGGAAACTGAAATGCTAAGTCTGGGAAAAAATGCTCAGCTCTAGAGTTAAACAAAACAAAACAATATATATTTTTTTATTCAAGACATGTTGGGAGAGAGGGAATCAGACTGAAAACCACCTAGAATGTAAAATAGGTTATTCATGTTTCTGTTTTCTGCAATGCAGTTTCTGTTTTCTGCTCTTCTCTTGCCCACCCAATTCCTCATATGGGTAGCCTCTACTCTTCAAAATTCTAACATACATAAGGCTGAAAACTTTGACATTATAAGAAAAAGAGTGAAAGTTTATGCAAATTGAAAATGTTACCAGCGTCTGTTTGAATAGCACATCTAATGGCCTTTCCATCTGATGAAGGTATCTCCCGGCCCAATCAATGACCACCTGCAATATCCAAAGTACCCATCAGACCATAACACATTTGACAAAGAAACTAAGATCTGTTGTTTTTATTTTATTTTATTGTTTTTATACAGCAATCTTATGAAATGAAACTAGTTTCTTTGCCAAGAAACTACTTGGCTAAACTAATAATTATACACAACAAGTTTAAGTTTCCACATAACTCTAAATAGAATTTACTAAATTCTCTCGGGTGGAAATAATGGGAAAATTTGCTGGTGCTGTTGGAAATTACAATGCTAATCTTGTCGCATATCTTGATATTAATTGGCCCCGAATTGCTGAAGAGTTTGTAACATCTCTTGGGTTGAGTTTTAATCCCTATGTTACACATATTGAACTCTTTCATGCATTTAGCCAGTTCCCATCAATTTGGGATTTTGACGTAAGCTAAATGGGACAAATTCAATACATCATACACAAATACCAACAACAAGTGAATGCAAATGCAGGCCTTTGAAGTAAAACCCAAACTCAAACCAACTCAATACACACACAACTTATCTAATTTACATCCAAAACGTAATTGAAATCTTGAAAAAGCAAAGACACAACCTCACCTCGACCATCTCGTCCATAGAAACTGCACAAGCCGGCAATTTCTCAATCAAAACCCTAATTTTACAATCAGTCTCTTTCCTAATCTTCTCCACCACCTTACCGCCCTTCCCTATCACCGACCCGAACGGCGCTACCTCCGCCAGAAACCGGAGTTCTCAACCACCTCAATCTCCTCTTCCCCCCCACCATTAACATTTTCGAGGCCTGTAGTTCTCAACCAAATCTTGGAACGGATTGCACTGGGAGCGACGACCACCACTACCCGGTCCGGCGACTTGACTTGGGCTTCTTCCATTCGGATCTTGGCCCCGGTGGCCTGTCGTAGCTGCTTGTTCACACTACTTGACTTTCCGATGATGCCACCGATCTGGGTTCCACAAGCGTTTTTGCTACCATAGTACAATTCTTGTGCGGTCAAGTTTCTCACAGGTCTCTCGATCTGATCTTATTTTTTAAAAAAAATATTTTAAAAAAAACCAACGAATTTTGGTCACTCTTTTAAACAAAAAGGGTATAATTGACATTTTAATATTTAATGTAAGGTGGGCCAACGAATTTGGGCATCTTCTTTGGTCTAATTCAAAATAACAATTCTTTTCTAGGTATTAAAACCCAAACCAAAATATCAAATGTCTTAAATACTAATAAGTAAAGTTATCTATGTCTAATACCTAATTTTCCTTAATTTTAAATAATGAAAAATGAAAAGTGAAATGTTCTTTCACTCCAAAATAGTGGTCATACAATGCCATTTTCTACTTGAATTTTCTTAAGTAAATAATGCATAATGACTTTTTCCTAGTGCCAATAATGAAAAAGAATCGGTCAACTCATTAGAATTCTACCAAATACATGATTATATGGCCCACTAAAATAGTTCACAGGCCCAGTGGGCTTTCAAACGACAAAACTGCTAAAAAGATCTTAGATTTTTTTTGGTCGAAACTCTTAGATTGATTTCTCAATTTTGATCACCGCTTCGATTGATTCGACAACCAAAACCCTAAGCAAAGTGAGCAAACAACAGCAGAGCAACGAGAAAAGAAGATGGGAGTGGAGAGGGAAGTCTTGAGTGCTGGAACCGGTCCAAAACCGACCGTCGGTCAGAAGGTCACCGTTCATTGCACTGGTTACGGTTAGCTCTTCATTCTATTTCTGTTTATAATCTGCCTTTTTCTTAGCCACATATCGAGCTATGAAATATAAAAACAAAATTTTACTTTATTTATTTATTTTCATTGCTTGAACTTTGAATGTTTTTCAACCCAGTATAATTATTGTAGTTGAATTTCATTATATGGTCTGATTGTGTCCTTAACCCAGGAAAAAATGGTGATCTGAGTCAGAAGTTTTGGAGGTGAGCATTTTTTTAAAATGTTTTTCATGGATCTTTTCAGGCTTATATATATATTCTCAAAATTGAATTATGTAAATTTGATGTGTAATTTTTTCTTTCTTTGATCTTTTTAGTACGAAGGACCCCGGGCAGAAGCCTTTCAGCTTCCAAATTGGGAAGGGTGCTGTTATAAAAGGTAACTATATGTTTTTTCCTTATATATGTGCACACATATATGTGATTGTGGGTATGTGTGTGTGTGTGTTCGTTCCAAGTTTTCTCTTTGTGATATAAACTTTTGACTTGTTTTGTTGGAACCCATTTGTAGGATGGGATGAAGGTGTGCTCCAAATGCAAGTGGGAGAAGTTGCTCGTCTACGGGTAATGTTCATCTTCTCTGCTCCGGAAGATTTATGCTCTATGATTTAACAAATAGTTTTGCAGTACTCTGAAGCTTATTATAAAATTGTCATGGTGCAATTAGAAGGCCATTAGGAGGCCGTTTGAACATGATCCTAATGACTCATTTGGAAAACTTTTAAGTATCTCATTTGTATTTGTTTGTCATTGTGAAATTGATCTCTTTGCATTTTTTTAGCAATAAACTCCCATATGTAGGTAATGTTTTCGTGAATCTCCGCACATTTTTTTCACTCCTCTTAAGAGTACTGTATTGTTTTCTATAGAAACAGAGTTAATTTACCACTCTTCTTCTTTATGGGACAACATGTTTTGCCCCATCCTGAAATTTACCAACAACCTCTAGGCTTGGTTCTCGTTGTGTTATTTGCGACCTCGCAAAATGTTTGATATTTCTTTGACTGATGCCCAAATTATGTATTCCTCTTCAAACTGGATGGTCCCAGACTCCAGTGTCTTAATGCTGTTTCTAAAATAGCGATTTAAGATGTAAGAAGCTAGGAATGTCTCATGTTCTTATTTTCATTTGGTGTGCATTTTGAAAGTCAGGAACTGGAATGCACTTTATCTCACATTAACAGCTGATATTCCTTGTTGATGAATTTGCAGTGCTCTCCAGATTATGCTTATGGTGCTAACGGATTTGGTGCATGGGGGATACAACCTAATTCGACTTTGGTTTTTGAGATTGAATTCCTAAGTGCGGAGTAAGCATTTGGGCAGGGAGTCGGACCATCTGCAAATCTATATGATTATCCTAATTAACTTGCTTTTCCATGGGCGTATATTAGTATTATGACACTTTATTTTTCGAAATCTTGGTGGGTAAACTTTTGTAACCTTTTTCATTGTTTTTTTTTTTAAACTTGGTTTGGTGGATATATCCACATGGTTATCCTAGTAATAATTTATTGTTGTGTCCTTATTATATGACACGTTTTAAGGATTGGTTTTGATGCAATGTTACCGAATATTAGGAAGAGAAATACCACTAAACGAAAAGTCACTTGGTTCTTGGTATAGGAACGGGGTGGTATTAATTAAGCCCTAGATATGCTATTTAGCTTGTTTAATCATGATAGGAATGAGGCGACATGGGCCTTATGGCGTTGTATGATTTCTCTCTGTCAACTAATCAGATGATTACCTATTTTATATGGAGTTTTTTTATTTTAGGTGAAACGGGCCGAAATCCAACAATAAAAATAACTAGACAGAAAACCTGTCTGGGTCCTAGCCAAACTAATAGCATCAGAGTATGATTTTCTCTTAAAAAAATAATGAATGAATATTAATTACAAAAAGGAAAAAAAATCAAAAATCTTTGAGGAGCTCCCGGACCTTCTCCAAGGTAACGAACAAGACCACAGTAAAAGGTCCTTGCCTTGAGATGGTAGGAATAAAGCCCTTATACAAAGCCATGGGACCCTCAGCCCTCACTGTCTTCATCGCACAATCCAACGCACCGGAGTACGGTGCCGTAGCACCGGCCTCCACCTTCATATTCATCACCCTCGTCTTGATCACGTCGATCGGATTCGATGCCACGGCCGCCACGAACCCGGCCCCGAAGCTCGCCACCACGTGGGTCCCAATCCCGTCTTTCATGATGCCCTTCTCCAATATCACCTCCTTCATCTGATCGTAAGACGCCAGCTGTGACGCCGTGACGATCATGGCACGGTTCACCGTAAGAGATGAGCCGCGCCATAGGCTAGTGATCCCCTCGTGTTTAGACATTTCCCGAATTGCGTCGATCACACTCTTGTAGTTGCGGCGCTGGTGGATCGGGAGGCGCCCATCGGCCTGCATGCGGACCATTGCCACGTCAGCGGGGTTGCCGACGGCGGCGCCAACGCCTCCAGCGACCAGTCCCGCGGCTAACTTGCTCGGGAGCGGGAGGTTTCCGGATTCAGGGTCGGCCCATTTCCGCTTGAGGATGTCGTAGAGGCCCATGCGGGTGGTGGAGTAGAGGGTTTGGCGGAGGATGGTGGCGGAGACCCCGGAGAACAGCGCTGCAACGCCTTCGGTCTGGGCAATGCGGAGTCCAAGGGAGACAGGCCCCACTCGGGGTGGTTGCGGCGCGGGTGCGCAGAATGTAGAAGGCATGGAGGTGGTGGCGGAGGTGAAGGCGAGGGCCGGGCGGAAACCAGGCTGCATTGCAGGGTTGGGGAGGTGGGATTCGCCTTGAAGTTGGATGCGGACTTTGATGAGGTCAAGTGGGTGCGTGGAAGCTCCGGCTATGATGGAAGCTATGCCGCCTTCAACGAAGCCTTTTACACCCATTTTGCGATTATAATGAATTACACTTAGAAAAATGAAGATGAAATGAAAGAAGAGTTTTCAAGTTCCAACTTCAGGAGAGAGAGAGAGAGAGAGAGAGAGAGAGAGAGAGAGAGAGAGATTGTGTTGTTGGGTTGCAGTGTGTTTTGAGAAAGTAGAAGAGGAGAAGCGTGGATTTATAGATATGGAGGTATTAATTGCAAAGCGTGTGCTTACGCGGGTTCTATTAACTGTGTGTGAAGATGTTGTGGTTTGACCTGAGAGTGAGAGGGTGAGACAGACTAGACCTTTCTTCTTTCTTGGCGTGCTGTGCTGCGCTTTTGACTTGGTGAGGCTCATGTTAGTAAAAAATTGAGTTTTGTTTAGTGTGTTTCATATAAATCGGGAGTCATACACGTGTCAGTTGCCACTCGTAGACCTATAATTTGATTCATTCTGGGACTTAAAGTTTTAATATAGACTAGGGACGATATTATTTGTTTTACTTGAGAGCTTTAATATAGTCTCGCGTGTGTGTTAATTGGGGTTTTTTTATTTATAAAGACAATATTCTTGAATTTCAATTTGTTATTTCGGTCTCTTATTCTAGAATTTAAATGAGAAAATTAATCTAGGTGTATTCCATGAAAATAGAACATATGTTCTCTTCTTCTTCTTTTTTTTTTTTTTTTTTTTTTTTTTTTTTTGGTTGAAATTTTCCCAAAAATTCGATAGCCTATGTAAAAAATGGGGACCAAGCAAATTTTTGTTGAAGAATGTAAAAGTCCCATATTGGATACTTAACTACATAAATTACAATATATAATGAGTGGTTTCACTACTAATAACATCGAGCTTTTTGTTATAAAACCCAAAACCTACTAGGCTTTGTAGGTAGTTAAGTTACTGATAAGATTGGTATTGCTAGTACTGGTTTAAAATTTAACATTTTAAAATATAATTGCTGCTATGTTATCGATAAGAAATTTTAGTACTTTCTTGAATCACCTTGTTCATTGATTTTGTGGGACACAATTGGATGTCGAAATGGTTTTCGATTTGTCTAATTTTTTGCAAGGATGATCTATGAATGTAGACTTAAAAAATAGATAATTTGGATCGTTGAAAAATACATTATAGTTACCTATCTATCCTCATTATATTTTTTTTATTTTTTTTATTTATTGTTTTCAATAAGGATAAAAGTGAAAAAAAAATGCGAAAATTGATGATTTTCTAGCTAAGATGGGTCATCATAAGGATTTAGGTTATCATGAGCTTTTTTCTCCTCCTAAACAAATGCAGTCTATTTTAGATGATGATAAAAATGGTCTCTTGAGGCCTAGATTTATTTATGTGTAATCTCTTTGATTTGGACTTTGCCCCCTATATTACCAAAAAGAAGAAGAAAAAGAAATAGGATGTAATTTTTTTTTTTTTTACAAAGGTTGACAAAACCTCTTCTCTTAAATTATAGTATAGATAATATTATCATTACTTACAAAATTATATATCTACCATTATAGTGATGTCTTTTCGTTTTATACGTATGAATCTTTTATAATTGAATCTTTTATAGAATTAAAAAATTATTCTTGTACCTAGAAAAGTTATTTTAGCTGTTGGGTGCAAGAAGATTATGCAATTTTTTAGTAATTTGTAAGGGATGGACCAGTTTACACTTTCAAGTGACCATTTGACTTATACGTGGCTTCTTGCTTGCTTTCTTTTCCTTGCCTCTTCCCGAGTCTTACACGCTCACCAAAGTCCAACGCGTCCATTTAACGAACATGTTATTGCTGCCTACAATAATTGATTCCAACTTCTAGCACTGTTTTCATTTCGTCACTAAGCTGGGCTGGGTGGGCTGACCCTAAAAGTTCAGGCTTGGGCTAAGTTTGGGTTGGGTTTTTAGGATTTGGGCGTTTTTATTTCTTTCAAGGACCTCAAAAATCAATGAACCGGCCTTGAGAATCAACTACATACAAGAATTTAAAGAGTTATGTTGAATATTTCAGGAGCAATATGAATCATATTTCATGCAGTAAATGTATGTGAGTAGGATATAGTTAAAAAGGGATGTATTCTAACTCAATTTATGGTTAATTCAATTGGGACACAATTCTTGGACTATGCCGACACATGGCTGGGTCAAAGGCTAATTGTGACTAGGCGTGGGCACGGTCCGGTTTGGACCGGTTTTTGTTAAAATATGGAACCTGAACCGAAAATACAAACCGGTTTGGTTTGGACCGATTTTGCTTAAAATCCCTACCAAAATCCGAACCAACCCGGACCTGCCGGTTTCCGGTTCGGTTTCCGGTTCTCACGGTTTGAGCTTGCTGTAGAGCCCAGTTTGATTTTTTGTGTATTTAAGCTTCAAGACCATCTGATTTTAAAATTTTTGGGCCTTAAACATCACAATTGGCCCAATTCCCATATTGAAACAACCACTATTCTTTGACAAAAATAATAAAACAATCCAGTATTAAATTTAAAATTACAACCAACAAGAAAATACACATAATAAAACAAATTAAATTACAGTTAAATTTAAAATTATAACTCCATTCTTTTGTTCTTTTGTAATCTTTTCAGCCTGATATACTTTAATCATCATATAAGAACATTTTAAATGTGACTACAATTATTAAAGGAGAGATAATAATATGATTTATTATCTCTCCTTTAAAAATATTTCTCAAGCAACAGATAGAAATGGTGTACATATGCACTACATTTATCATACTACTATATTTATACGGCCATTCAAATCAAGAATTTTCTTGTAGAGAAGAGAAAAAAGGGTAAAAGTTAAGTATTTTAAGGAACTAAGTTGATTTACAAAGACCCTGTAGAGTTTCTTCAATTGAAAGCCTTGGTTTTTATGCTGAAAGATCTGTACTTAGTTTTTCTTACGAAGGTTTTACTATTTATTTAGATTGTCATCCTCAAATGACCAACTTTATTTGAATTCTTAACCCAACAAAATGTACACACACCCCAGACCTATCTTTTAAAGCCTTATGAATTTACAAATAACACTCGGACATCTAAAAGATTTTGACCTTCTTCAAATATCTTGCAAACGCAATCATTACAAACAAGATTGACTGTATATTGCCAAATTTCCATGATCTGGTACATCATTTTTTCCAGGCAATCCAACTGCATGACTCAAATTCAGAAATTCACTATGAAGCAATAACAGGAGCATGTGATGGTTTTTCCAGAACAAGACATGACATATTCAATGAATAAAAATCAAAATAAACAGAAAATCAAAAAATCAAAAAACAACATAACACAGAAAATCAAAATACTGTTTGACTCCACCAACAAAAACAGAAAAACAGAAAATCAAAAAATCAAAAATAAAAAATAAATCTGCAAAGGAGAAGACATAAATCTGCAAACAACAATCGGTAGCTCATCCAGCATTGATTTTTCGCAAGGAAGGAGCGGGTAAACAGATGCACACACAATCAAAACCTAAATACCCAAACAGATGCAAAACCCTAATAACAGAATCGAAGATGAGCTAAGAGAGAGAGAGAGGGAGATGAACAGTACCTGAGAGAGAGACAGAGACAGAGAGCTATGCGAGACGAAGAGGTGGACGCTGCGAGCGAATGGGATCTCTCCGATTTGCTGGAGGACAGAGAGAGTTAGAAAATCGAATTGGGGAAAAAAAAAAAGATAGAGAGAGAGAGAGAATCTGACCTGCGTGAAGACGACGACTGAGAGAGGCTGAGAGAAGAGCGGCGGTAGAGAGAGGCGTGACGTGATGGCTGAGAGAGAGGTTTGGAATCGGTGGCGGCTGGTTGAGTGTGAAACGAAAGGGGAGGAAGAAACGTAATGGGATGGGAGGGGAGGAAAAAACGAAGAAATAAAAAACCCTAAGTCACTTAAGGCTTTTTTATTTGTGTAATCCTGTGTGTGCGCTACTTATGGTAGTAGCATACACATCATACATAATTTCTAATATAAATATATATATAATATATTAAAAATATATATTAATTAACTCTATTGGATCGGTTCGGATTGGACCGGTTCTTTAGGGTGAAAAACTGGAACCGAAACCGGTCTGAACCGGTTCGGTTTGGATTTATTTCGGTTTTTGACTTTTTTGGTCAACACGGTTTTTTTCGGTTTTTTCCGGATTGGTTTGGTTCGGTTTTGCGGTTTTGCGGTTCCAATGCCCACCCCTAATTGTGACGGAGCTTGGTTGCAACAAACGCAAAGGGGTGGGTTATTAAAGACTCTTTTGGCTGGATGGTGCAGGCAGGGGGTGTAGGGGGATTATGGGGTAGTATGGCCTTGATGATGGAGGTGGAGGCTATAAGAGAAGTACTGCTTGCTTGCATCAATGGTCGATTTTTGTATGTGGAGATTGAATCTGCCTCGATGCAATTGATTCAGATGATTAGAGGTGAGCGTCAAGTAGATGTTGCGGTGGAAGCTATTGTGTTTGACATTAAGATGTTTGTTGGCAAGCTCCAATAGGTTGTTTTTCTAGCTACTCCCCGTCAGTGCAATAAGGCAGTGCATGAGGTTGCGCCCTTTGTGTCTAGAGTAGGCGGTAACCACATTTGGGACCAAATGTGGCCTGAGTGGATTTTTGATATTTTAGCTAGTGATGTAAACCTTGCTATTCGTCTTTAATAAAACTCTATTCGTTTGGAGAAAAAAAATTGGGACACAATTCTTTTTAGTTAGCCCTGTAGTTTTGAGACTACTCAAATTCCTTAAGATTAATTGATACTAATATATTAGTACTATATGTTTTATACCTACTTAGCGGTGGTTTGCTCATCCTTCATCTTTTATTTTTGTAGATGAATTTTTTGAACATAACAAAGATTAAACGATAAAATATAAACGGTTCTGATCGTTGAATTGCACTGTGATAGCCCTTGGGAAGGCGTGTGCATTAAAAAAATAAGGCATCCTTAAACTCTCGGTATAATATATACTATGTTTTGGTTTTAAGGATTTGCACTCATAGAACTTGTGGAAATGCCTTTTAATGATGCCCGAGACTTTTTTCTTTCTTGAAGTCATGCTAATTTTTCCATCCACAAAAAAAGCATCGTTAGACCAAAGAAGGGGAGGGGCCATTTCCAGCCCATTACAAATGCATGAACCGTATGTAACCATTTTGGTCCTTCTCGAGAGAACATGCTTTACAAAGTATATATATACGCACGCTTGGCCGGCTGAGCATCCGATTCCATCATTATTGAAGCAAATCTACCTAGCCTCCATAAGAAATGGTCATGTACTACGAATATCTTTGGAACTTTTTTAAGTATTTTTTTTCTTTCGGCATATGAAAAAAGTTTCATTTTAAGTTTCGTACAGGTCGGTCCTATTTAGATTATCTAAAAAGTAACACGCAATATTGAGAGAGGGAAGATTCGAACGTAGAATCACGGATCCAGGGAAAATTGTTTTTAGGTTACAAATCTCTTACATCTACATTCTACCTTAATCACACCATTAAATGCAACATTATGATTGTTGGAAGCATAACCCTAAGATGGTGGTACCTCGTGGAAAGGATGGAATTATAAGCATCATGACAAACATGATACTCATTGATTTCTCTTTTATTTTTTTTGGTCCACATGAAATTCTATAGAAAGACCAAAAATGGCTAAAAGGAAACAAACAAAGGACTAAACGAAATTCACCCGAATCAGATACAAAAATGGAACCATAGAGAGGCGAAGGTGGAAGATTCAGCGAGCCAGACAATCAAACCTACTCATTGATTTCCTTTGATGTGGTTATCTTTTTCCACTTTTCTTATTATTATTATTATTATCCTTAATTTTATTTTTAAAAAATAAAAAATAAAAATCTTAATAATTACCATATGGTGTCGACGGTCCGTTCTTTCGGGTGTCTTCACGAAACCATGTTCTTGTGGTTGCGGTGGTGATGAACTTGGCGGCGGTGGCGACAATGATCAGGGCGACGACTGGTGTTTTATAACCTTTTTGGGTAGGGTTGCTAGGATTTTTGGTAATACTGCGCTTAATTTTGTTCTGTTGTAATATACAGTACTAGACTGAGCTATTTGTAATGATATGTTTCTTATGAATGAAACTTATCTTGACCACAATAATTACCATGTGGCTGGTATGCTTACTTCACTGCACAAATGAAATAATTTTAACTACATGCCTTGATCAATCCCACTCTCCATCACTGTTCTAATTAAAGTTTGCTGATACTATAACCATTACCTTAGACATGATTGTTTTGTTGAGTAATGAAAAATGAAATTAGAGAAGCAAGTGCGTTACAGCAAATTTAAACATGTTTTTCTATCTTTTAGTACAAAAGAAGGAAAGCAAATTTAAAACCATACAAGGAGAGTTGTTGACCCACTTCCCACTACTATTCCTCAAGAATGCACAAGCATATAATTCCTAATCAATCAATTGAAGCAATGCTCTGAAATAATAATTCTAATTAGTGGTAAAGTGATGGGGTTTCAATAAACTTTAGTTAGCAAAAAAGATTAGAGGAATCCCTGAATTCTAGCATTTGCATCTCAACTATATAATTTTGGAGCATATTTTTGTGCTACCAAAAGGGCAGACCTTATGATTGGATGTGCATATTATATTGGGTTATTTGACACTTGTTCCCTCCACCTATAAGCAACATGGTAATGCACCATGCCATTGAGTTTTCTTGTTATCTTTTTTCAAAGATTAAACCACACCTATATAAGTTTCATAGGTTATTGATACATGCGGATCATATATTGGCATTATGATTGTTGTTAGTGTGCTAAGTATTGGAGCTTGCACTTGATGGATGGCTCCTCCTTAGTGCACACATATGGCCTTATGACATCCTACGTTGCAATTAAGGATCCTAAATCTTTTAATCACAAGATTAGATTTCTAATGAGTAGATTATATAAATAATAAGTGAATGCCACATGGAATGTCTATGTTATTATCATTATAATTATTATACTTATCATCACCTAACACTCTTGTAATAAACTTGAGGAGTGATGGCTACTTTTCCCTCTTTTTTTTTTTTCATTCATTTTGTGCTACGTGTATTCCCGTTACATGTAAATTTATGTATTTAAAATGACTAAAGAATTAAAACCCTAGGCTAAGGCTTCTAGCTGCCGCCCCCTTTCGGGGTTGGCCTAGCTCTCCCCTTTCCCTTTCCCTTTCCTTCCCTCACCTCTCCTTCTACTCGCCCCTCCCCCTCTCTTGGGTATCTTTCTTCCCCTCCCTCTTTGTTTTGTTGGTTTGGTTTTTGTTCTTTTGTTTTTGCAGGTTTGTGTGGTTCGCTTGTCCTTGGATTTTGCTGAGAAGGATTGGTGTTTTGGCAGATTTAATGTCATGGATACTCTGTTTTCTAGTTTGGTGGTTGTCGACTGGTTGCATTATGTGGTTTGTTTAAGTTTATTGTTGATGGTGTGGTATTCTTAAAGATGATTGTCTCCCTCTAAATGGAATTGTCTTAAAGATGATTGTCCTGTCTTGTATTCTTGATTTTGACTCTTCTGTTAGTCTGTAGCATGTGTGGTATTCTTTCTTATCTCATAAATTTTTTCCTTGGGAACTTTTTAAGGAGGTCACTATTAACATGTCGGTTACTTTATAATGTCTTGGATTATTAATGGATTCTATCTTTGTCCAAAAAAAAGTGACTAATTTTTTTTAAAACACATTAAATACATAAATTTGTGTGGGAGTGAAATACACGTGATACAAAATGAATGAGGACTATAAATTGAGGACTATAAAAAAAGGGAGCTGATTTTCCCATTTTCCTTTTCACCACTTACACTCCCTTTTGCTTTTCAATACTTTTTAATCAATATTGTTCTTTTTTGTTATTTCTCTTTTCTATTCTATCCGTACCATGCATTAAGGTTTTGATAACTAAAATTAAGAAAAGTTAACCGAAAATAAAACAAAAGACAAAAAATAAAAATAAAAATGGAAATGGATAGAAATGTAAGTACTAAATTCTTTATTTTATTTTTACCAAGTATGTGAGTACTATTTATCTTTGCTGTAGTTAATAAATAATAAATTTTTTGGGCCAATATTTTTACAGATAAAAGACCCAAAGAATGCTGCTAACCAAACTGTCATTAAGAGCTTAGATACACAGAGAGCAAGGTATGCATAATAGTCTCAAATTTTTATTTTTTTCATAATATTAGTAAGTGATTGGGCATGTCTTCTTATTAAATGGAATTGTAGGGTAAGGGTAGAATAGAAAAAAGAAATAACAAAATTGATTAAAAATATTAAAAAGTAAAAGGCTAGGAAACTAGGACGTAAGCGTACATCAAGGTGTCTAATGCTACTCTTGTAATGTGATAGCAAGGACATCTCTAGCTCGTTACGATTGATGGCGAAGAACGGAAGAGCATGGACACCTAGTTAGGTCTAAAAAAGAAGAAAGTAAAGTTGGGCTTGACACATCGCAAGTGAAAAATGCCTACTTAAGAAAGTATATATAATTTATATCTATATATATATAAAGGCAGAGATAAAAAATGGTGAAACTTTCAAAATATCATAAAATGTCATTCGATAATGATATATCTTTTTAGATGGCATAATGATAATGTTAAGAATTGAAAATATTAAATAAATGAGGATAATATAGTAATTTTATACTTTTTTATATTAAAAAAAATTTAAATAAAAACAAATCAGAACATGGATCTTATTTTTATCTTTATTAATTATATAATTAGAAAAAAAAGAAAGAAAAAAGAAAACTAATTGGTACAAGCACTAGTACAAAATAATGAATATTCATGGATATGAAAATTGCATGCTCTGATTAAGAAACACGAAAAATAGTAACCCCAAATCTAAATACTCTGAAGACTCTGAACTGAATGTTACTGCCGAACATTAAACAAAAAGAAATACATTATAAAATATAAAATAAATGGTTGCCGGCAGGTCAATCAGAACCTTTTACAGTAACAGTTGCAGTCTAACGGAGGAGAGAGACTGGCAACTGGGATGGGCAAAATGGTCATATAAATGACTATATAATCATAGCATTCCCTAAACAAATTCACTTGTTTAGACATCTTCTTTCCAACTACCAAACAGTTAAAAACTTTCCCCTTCCTCTCTCTCTCTCTCTCTCTCTCTCTCTCTCTCTCTCTCTCTCTCTCTCTCTCTCTCTCTCTCTCTCTCTCTCTCTCTCTCTCTCTCTCTCTCTCTCTCTCTCTCTCTCTCTCTCTCTCTCTCTCTCTCTCTCTCTCTCTCTCTCTCTCTCTCTCTCTCTCTCTCTCTCTCTCTCTCTCTCTCTCTCTCTCTCTCTCTCTCTCTCTCTCTCTCTCTCTCTCTCTCTCTCTCTCTCTCTCTCTCTCTCTCTCTCTCTCTCTCTCTCTCTCTCTCTCTCTCTCTCTCTCTCTCTCTCTCTCTCTCTCTCTCTCTCTCTCTCTCTCTCTCTCTCTCTCTCTCTCTCTCTCTCTCTCTCTCTCTCTCTCTCTCTCTCTCTCTCTCTCTCTCTCTCTCTCTCTCTCTCTCTCTCTCTCTCTCTCTCTCTCTCTCTCTCTCTCTCTCTCTCTCTCTCTCTCTCTCTCTCTCTCTCTCTCTCTCTCTCTCTCTTTGTGTTTGCTGTGACTGTGAGCAGTGAGCAGTGAGCAGTGAGCTTTGGCCTTTCAGATCCATCCAAGCTTTTCAATTTGCACTGTAAGTCCGTGATCTCAATCCCTTGTTTTCATTCTCTGAAAGCTCTTCTCTTTGTTCTTAAATTTGGTGTTTGCTTTCTTCTTCTTCATTTTATTTTTCGTAGATTTTATTTTTCTTGTCTATATCATCCGTTTGGCTCCTGAGAAAAGTGAGGGAAAAGAAAAGGAAAGAGATAGGGATGTTGGATCTTAAAGTTTTGAATTTCTGGGAGCTATGGGAACAGTAAAACCCCCATTCTGTTCTCCGCACTTCAACTGTAAAAGGTGTTCTTTTAAAAAGTTTTTTCTCGACAGGTTGTCGACCTTGTGGCTTTAAATTTATGTTTTTTTATTTATTTATAATTTTTCTTTCGGTATTTGGATTTCTCTTTGGACCCTCTGCTTTGCTAGTAAAATGAAAAATCAGTTTTGGTGGATTTGTTTTCTCAGCTGCCAGATTTTAAAATGAGGAAAAAGGTATAAGAAGATTAAACATCTAAAGTGCAAAGTCTACAATTTCTTTTCTTCCTTTCATTTCTCTGTGTTCCTTTCCCTTGCTGCCTCTTTAGATGCTTAGTGGGTCATCTTTGTTTCTGTTGGGTTTCTCAATTCTTGGGTTATTAATGTGCTTTATGTTATTGGTCTGATAAGTCTCCTGTTCTCTTACTTTTAGTTATATGTACTGTATGTGCAGGAAATTGGTGAAATATCCATAGAAAATCAATTCAGAAGTTTGGATAATTCTATATCACAGAGAAGAGAAACAATATGCCTTGGTTGAGTCTGTCAGTCGACGTGTATCGGAAAGTTGTGCACTTGAACTTATATTGCAGGGTTATTCTGTAAATTGTTCTGCATTCCACTGAACTTTAAGTTCTTCATCCTTTCGTCGATTTTCATTCAACTTTCCATGGGATCAAATAAGTTTTTTCTCACTTCTCTTGATATTTATAGGATCATCTGAAGCTAGAAAGCAAAACCTTGTTTGTCTCAAAGTTCAAACCCCTTTTAGTTTCTTTTATATTATCCTCGCAGTATAGCTCTCATCAGTTGTTGATCATCATATCTAGCTTGGCCTTTATTGTTCTTCTCTATTACCAGTTATTCAATTTGTTTCTTACTCTCTAGTAAAGTAGATTCCTCCATTGCTGATTTTAATATCTGGCTTAGTTGTGTACACATTCTGCAAATCGGGTATCTGTTTAGTCTTCCCTCCAGTATTCTTTTAGATTGAGTAGTTTCATCAAGGTTCAAGTGTAGTTATGGTGTGCCAAGGAGCAAGCCAAACAAGATTTCGGGCATTGAAACATGAAAATGGGATCGCAGGAAGACCAACAATAATAGTTAGAGTGATTGCGTGCTTTCAACCTTTGCAGGATTGCCAGGTTAGTATTGCATACAGTGACCAACTTTCATTTTCTTTCAATATGTGAATTCTTTTCAACTGTTTATATGATCAATTGCTGGTCTATTTTCTTTAATCTCTCAACTATGCTTTCATGAAAGTAACAATTATACTTATCGCTTGTTACGAAATGATTTACACTTATTTCCTTAGAGTTCTGTAAGAAGCGTAGTTAATAATGTGTTTTTGTTACTGCTATTCTGCAGGCTGAGTACTTTCGACATCTGCTTAAGCCTGTTACGTAGATTTATTCAGGTTTTCAGTCATTTTACCAAGCCGCAAGTTGTAGTATTCTGTTCCTTTTTGTTTTCCATTCTTGAAACGACCCAGAAAGTAATTGAACATTACAGGTCAAAGCACCATCTATCTCCTGTCAGGTATAGTAATGTCTTGCTTCTCAATGTAGCTATGATAATCATGGGTCATGCTTGAGTGATCATCTTTGTTCTCTTATGTATAGGTGATCTTTTTGGTTGGATGGTTAAGGCAAACAACTCTTGGCTTTTCCCAGAGCAGAATTCTGCTTGGCAACTGCCTAATTTGAATCATATGAGCATGTTGCTTGAGCCCAAGCAACAGAAATGTTTACCATCATCTACAAATCAGGGCATTTGCCCATTTTCTGGACATATGGCATTGCCAGGGTCTACAGTTTCTGGTGTTCAGGGTGTTATGGCGAAGCAAACAAATGAAGTTCATGGGGTGCTTCAACATTTACCTCCTTATTTTCAGACCCTATTTCCTCCACCAAATTCTTATCTTAATGAAAAGCAGTCAGCATTTTCTTGTGGATTTGGTGGTCGCATGGCTGTGCCAAATGCAAATCCAGGGTCTTCCCAGAAGGGATTCTTCATTTTTGATCAGTCTGGGAATGAAACAAAGCTAATATATAATTCTGATTGCCCTCCTAGCCAGGATCCACCCTTTGCCAGTAAAAAGTTCGTTTATGGTTATGGTTCACATGAAGCAGGACTAACAACCAGCATGGACCAAATTCGTCCAACCGAGTACCTCTTGCATGAAGAGATCGGTGAGAATCACATTATTGAAGAGAGTGAGATGCATGAAGACACAGAAGAAATCAATGCATTGCTTTACTCTGATGATTATGATGATGAAGATAATAATGATGATGATGACGGAGACAATAATGACAGTGATTGTGGTGAGGATGATGAAGTAAAAAGCACGGGTCATTCTCCAATAGATCTTCAAGTGAGTTATGGAAAGAAAGAACATGTGGAGGAATTAACAGAGAAGGTCATCAGTTCTGATGCTTCAAACAAAAGGCATAAATTGCTCAATGGTGGTTACAGGCAATTATCACCAATGGAGACTGTTATTAATTCGATACAACCGTATGGATCTCACGGGCACGGGAACAATATGGAATCGAGCTACGGACTTGGCCAGACCCAAGGAGACGAAATACATTCTACTGTGGGTAAGATGAAGTCCAAAAAAGACACAATTCGTGAGACAATTAGAGTTCTTGAGAGTGTGATTCCTGGTACTAAGGGCAAGGACCCAGTGTTCATCATGGACAAAGCCATAGAATACTTGAAGTCTATGAAGCTTGCAGCCGAAACTCTGGGAGTGAGCTTCCATGAAGCAGCTGCGTTCCTTCCAAGCTAAGGGAAAAGGTGGCAAGGGAAGCCCCAGAATTCCAGGCTTGAATGATTGGTGAATTTGAAATCGGCAAGGTAGCTTTGGTTTTGTGGGGCCCTTTCTCTGCCTTTTGGTTTCTCTTTATAAATAGCCGTGTATATAATGGGCCAATAAAGGAGGCAAAGCATTGGGATGATATTGCACGCTGGAGATGATCAAAGAAGGGTTATGTTTGTTGACCAGAAATCATTATCTTTTTGCTTTTTGGGTGTTTAAAGATTAAGGAAAGTCACCAAAGACTTAAACGCATGGGAGATTTTAGTGGTGGGCTGTGCTGTAAAATGAAGACCCCTGTGGATTTAGTGCATGCGCGTTAGGTATATCGGGCCCTACCTTTACCCCTTCTTTTCTTGTTGATTTTATTCTCTTGTGCTTTGCTTTCTCTCTCTATTTTACCTCTCTCAGTCCCATCATGTTGGTATAAGTTCTAAAGGTGAGAAAGTTTCTGGTGTGGTGGTGCTGAGTTGAGGTGGGGCCCTTTCTTCTGATCAAATAATGCAGCAGCAGCAAAAGGTTAGATTGTTTTACATGTGGGTGTGGAAAGTAATTGTTGTTGTTGTACAGTGAAATGTATGGGCTTGTGGTTAGGGAGATCTCTAGTTTGAATGTGGAGATTTGCTTCTGCAGTGTGGTGCTTTTTCTGAGTTTGTCAGTATTGTGTGCGAGAATAAATAATTGGGGTGTGGAGGGATATGATGGTGGTGGTGGTGGTACGTACTGCACACCTTAGCTGTATTGTGGTTTGGATGTGTCTTTTTATGTATGCTTGTATGTGTATTTGTGAGAGATGAGAATAATGTACTGGGATTCCTCTGTTTTTTGAGTTATCCTGTGATTTTTATAATGTGGGGGACAATGAATGGATATGGGTGTGATGTGTATTTTTTATTTCTACTTTTTAGGGGATGAAATGGGGGATCAACCCCAAACACAAAAACTAAACAGTAGAAATAGTAAGAGTTCTATGAACTTATAACATATCATCGTTCGCGAAATTTTATAATGAGGGTGCCGTATATTAGCCAGATAATCATTTCATTAAACTTAAGTGAAGTTATTATTTAGATAAATCATGTGGTTGATATGAAAGTCTACATCTATGGTCCGTATACGACACTCTCATCATAGAATGACTCTTTCATCAAACAATGTACCTCCTATCCAACTGAGGATATCAGCAAACACAAGAAGCCCCAAGTCAAAATTGCAACTCTCCTTGGCCAAGCAATCCCAACCATGTTCTCTTCTCTATAAATGAATGTGCTTAGCTGCACAATGACCAAAATGCTTTAGAAGTTCACCACAGCTGGACAACAAGGTAGCTGGCGGATGGAAAGCATGTAACGCAGAGTCCATTTTGACGATCAGGTTCTTAATACCTTGTTCCACAACAAGCCTGCACCAAAAAAACTTATTGGATTTTGACCAAAAAAAAAAGGAGAAAAAGAAACTAGCCACAAAGCCATCAGTCTAATCCCCTCTGTCATCACGAATTACTCCTCCAGCCCCATTGGTACTAGAATTACACTTTTTAGGAACCATCAACATTGTGCTTGAAATAGCCCAAGTTGGGAGGCTCCCAAGTAATGCGAAATTCTATAGCGAGGGTGTCGTATATAGACTCCTCATGTAGACCTTCATATTAGCAACATGATCCTTTCATTAAACTTTAAGTAAAACTACTGTTTAAATGAATCATATAGCTAATATGAAAGTCCGCATATATGACCCATTTATTGCACCCTCACTATATAATGACACCCGCAAGCAATAAGGATTTGAGAAAAAATATTCTACACTTATCTTCATTGCCTAAATAACCAAAATTAGCATGGGCCAATTTCGCAGGTATTTGGACCAATTATATGGTTTGAGTAACTAAGGCCCAAAACATTGACCAAACAAAATCGACTGCGTCTAACGCCCAACGCTCATCGTACGGGGGCATTTTTGAGTGACTAATGTTGACCAGCCCGTGGTCAACCCAAGAAGACCAAGACCAATAAGACAGAATGTGTCCGATGGAATGTTAAAAAAACCAATGAATGTTATTTCAACCAAAACTAAATGGTTTTAAATACAAAATGTGGATAATTATTCCAATACCTAGTTCATTTTATGTAAATTGGAAGTTACTTAACAGTCACTTGTCATAGCTGCCCCGAATTCTTCGGAATTCGTGACGGATCCTGTGGTTTTACAGGCCAACTTACTAACATCGTAGCCTATTTTCCAAATTAAGTAAAATAGGTACGAGATTTTCTGCCAAAATTTCAGCAAAGTCTCTCCTGAAAAATGATCATTCCCAAAATTTTCAACATGTTAAAGACACATTTATAATCTCATCTGGCAGCATGCACAAGATAATAATAACATGCAATTTGATCTATTCATGCGAAATCAAGGTGAAATCGAAGTATTCTGACTTCCCCGATATCATGTAATAATATTCAAATCAATTCCTTTGACTCCAATCCAAACCGTTCCCGAAACATAGACTTATAAAACGAAATGTGTAAGAATGACTTTAAAATAATCAACTCATACATTTATATATACATATATATGAGTATGTATAGTTATATACATATAGGCTACGATAACTCACACTATATAAATATATACCCCAATTTCCATAAGTATACGAATAATATGATATATATATATATTGGACTCTTTTGCTAATGAAGATATGCTTGACTACTTTCATTTTTGGGACTACTACGTTTGACTTTTCAAGGTTGGTTTGGAACAAGGTAGTTTTACCTTTACTGTCTAAATCTTAGCTTTGGGACAGATAGTGTTCATAACATTATATGAAACCCTATAAATGATCGCTAGATTTTGGGATCCTAGGTCCATATCATAACCCTGAGTTTGAATATTCAACGTTAAAGCTTTCAAGACATTTATATCAGAAAATGCAACAAAAAAGTTTGGAAAACAGTTAAACTATATCGGGCTTTCTCCTAAGGTTGACTTGACTATTCCTAACAAGGAATCTATGAACTTTCTATGTCTTCCATCTCTTACACAAAGCAAGATTGAACTGGGCAATCCTGTTCTGGTAAGTGGTTTCACCACCACCTGCACCAATCCTATGTGCAAATAGTTATATTTTCTATCAAGATGCTGGTCGATTTGACGCTGGGTAAATAGCTGGAATCTATCATTTTTATCAATGATAGATATCGTTTTTTCAACAGTTTTTATCGCGTAATCGGATCTGAACTTGAAAGATCCTTTATAGTATATATCAGTGATGGGTTCTATGGGTATATCCTAGTTGCACAACTCCTTTTCTATGTCCCGCATGGTTATTTCTTGAGAGTTTTTAACTCTCAGGATTCTATGGCTAGAACTGCTACTAGAGCTTGCTTCTCCAGAAGAACGGGTAGACAAGATTCTCCTAAGGCTTGCCATTCTAATATTCTGGGTTTTATGCTTTCCTTACGTTCTCCTCCTAATTCAAGGTTGCTAGTCCCTGCCTAGGTCTCTCAACGCCTTAGCTTCTCTGGCAACGGCTAACGAGCCTATCTGACAGCTAGACAACTCGATGACTAGTGAGTAAAGGAAACTTGAAGAAAAACCAGAAAATTAAACATGCAAAACTTAGTTAGAACCTTAAACCTAACAACTCTTCTAGGGACTTTGGCTTTGATACCAGGTACTGGCCCAGCCTCTTAATATATATATATATATATATATATATATATATATATATATCGGGGAAACAATCCATCAGGGGGTCCAAGAATACGATTGATTTTGCGGCTGTACCTGAGTAAGACCCCAGGCTACCTATGTACCCTTAATTTGGGATCAAGCCACACGTAGTTCTACAACCAATAGTCACGAACCAGATAACGTACAATTATTTTCGCTAATATCAACAAGTTAATTTTAGAATCATCTTATCCATTTTAATAAAATCACAATATGCTAAGTAGGATTCTTTAAACATGGCTCCAGTTTCCCGATATATTATAATAATACTTTTCCCTCTACCCGTTACTTTAATACACGCCGGAAAATCCAACGCCATACGTAGTAAAGTAACAGTGATCATAATGTCCGGATCCTTTATAACACGCCGGAATAATTCAACGCCACGTGTGGTAAAGTAACCAGTATCCAAGTGAGCACACACGGCGGAAAATCCAACGCCACGTGTGATAAAGTAACCAGTATCCCAGTGAGCACTCATGTCGGAAAGTCCAACACCACATGTGGCTAGACCAAAATCATGTTCTACCCACGTGGATTGCTTTATTACACGCTGGATAATCCAATGCCACGTGTGATAAAGCACTAACATAACCAAATGTGCCCACATGCCGAATAATCCAACGCCACGTGTGGGTACGATAACCAATCACATATTCACATAACAATCACAAATACCCTAACTCATAATAATCTCTTGCCCATATATTTAATCACAAAGTGAATAGCAATTTCTCAGCATATAAAAATCCATATTCCGAATAATTATAACTTCAAATATAAAAATAGCAAAATATTAATACCTAAACGATATATATATCCATTCCATAATCATAAAAATCCATATTAGATGACATGGTAATTTAATCAATAAAAAAAAAAGCTATTTCAAAACAATGTCCACTCACTCCCTAATAATTATAGCTGAGACCCACGGCTTACATTCACAACCCACCAATCAAGTATTCCATGCTCATCTATTCCATAACTTCAATGATCAAAATAATATCTAAGAATTCCATAAGATACTATAAAACAATCTCATGATTCCAACATAATCAAAATAACTCAAATATAGTCAAGACTTGTTTATAAGGTTGTTCTAGCACTTCTCGAAGGGTGAAACTACCTCGGAAGACTCACGGTCAACTGAGGGGTCAAACTACCCAAACTTGGTCAACCGGGCCCACGACCTTCGATTTTCGATCTGAAAGTTCCTACGAGTTCAACAGGGTTTATTATACATATCTTGCGAGTTTGGTCCGAATCGAACGGTAGGATTGATTGTGATCACACGATTGGACGGTTAAATGTAATCTTTGAATTATGGGTAAACTGCCGAATACCCCTTAGACTATTTCGACTATCGAAATGTCCACCTTAAATTAATTTTTTAGCCAATTAAGCTATTGTATTAAATTTATTTGCCAATTTCACCCATGTCGTTAGCTTTTTTACAATTCCATCCAAATGCGCGTAAAAAACACCACATGAATGGCACGTGAGGCTTCTGTTGAGGGTAATCTTGTCCTTTTTCAACTTTGCTGCTTGTCTTCCAAAATCACAAGGAATTATAACAAACACCTTCCAAGCACTCGAGCCATCTACAATCAAAGCCATAAGCGATGGTTCTTGCGTTCCAAATCATCAAACCCCACCAATATTCCACATCGGACCATTGAATTTCGATGTTAAAAATGGGGCTTGAAGTGCCTGTGAAGACAGGTCAACGTCAACCAAGTGTTTGATGTGGTTGGATGAGCAGCCGAGCCAGAGTGTCGTCTTCTTGTGCTTCGGGAGCAAATGTGCGTTCTCCGAAGCACAATTAATCAAGATTGCCATTGGTTTGGAGAGAAGCAAACAAAGATTCTTGTGGGTCGTGAGCCCTCCGGGTTAGAGCTTGGTAGAGCCGGATCTGGAGATTCTGCTACCCAAAGAGTTCTTGGAGAAGACCAAAAACAGAGGCTTGGTAGTAAGTCGTGGGCTCTGTCGATGAAGCCAGACTTTTATGAGGAATTTAGATTAAGATTTACCAAATGAATATGAACAACCAATTCAATTGGAAGAATTAGCAGAAAATGAGAATGATGTGAATGAAGAAGTTGGTGATCTATATGAAAATGAAAATAT